AACGGTCGAGTGGTCTCAGTTGGAGATGGGATTGCACGTGTTGATCGAATTCAAAACGATAACATACTTGTCATGCATGCATATAAACATAATTGAATAACATACTTGATGTTGATGGCGCTTCATTTTCAAAGTTAAATTATAATGATTAGTCATTGAGTTAATCAGACATAAAATAAAATAAAATAAAATAAAATAAATAACTACATTTGAAACAAATAAAATGATCAAAGAAAATTCATAATGTTTGGTCCAATATGAAATTAAACAAATTAAAATAAACTCACACACATCTTGACATATCACTTAATAGTTTGTTTGGAACAAAATCACAAAGAACAAAATCACAAAGGATGACAATTTTCTTTACTATGCAACGAAAACTAATTATTTTAATTCTTCTTGGGGAATTGATCAACGGTGATGATTGAATGGGCAGATAACTCCAATTCTTCCAAGTGATCTTCTTTGGTTTCCACCTCATTTCTTGCCTCTTCTTCATCCACATGCACAACCCCAATAACTTGTAGCTCTTTCTGCTTTCCCCATAGAACTCCATACAGTCCCACAACAATCAACACTGATCCAACAATTCTATATAATAATAAAAAAAAAATGCTGAGGAATTAAAACTGGAATAATCAATTATTAATTTATAAATTTAATTAAAGAAGATTTATGAATAGGCACAGTACTAATTATATAATTAATTAACTTACGTGCCAACGTATATTTTGTCTTGAAGTAAACCCCAACTGAGAACAGCTACAATCACAAGCAGCAAAGGGTTAAAAACAGAAACATATAAAGGTCCTTTTTTCTCTATGCACCATGACATTAGGCAATATGCTAGTGCAGTGCCCACAATTCCCTGCATTCAAATAAAAAAAAAATCATTAATCAATTTACTTATAAACTTAAAATCAAAATTAACAACAACCATACTAATAATAATAAAATGTGTCAAATTAATTAATTAGTCCATATAAGTTCAACAAACAATGCACTTAGTTCTCCCATCCAATTGAATACAAACCCCAATAAAGTCTTTTACACCAGTAAAATAATACAATTAAACCCTAATATTACATATTTAGCAACTTAATGTTGATATATACGACACTGACTAGACTAAAATGTCGTGCGTTGAAACTTACATGGATCCTAAGATTAAGTATAACTTTTCATTTTACTTTTTATTTTTGAATTTTTTTTTTAAAAAAAAAAAAAGAAAAGAAAAGAAAACATACAGCATAAACCGCAGAGGTAGCCCTGATCCCTTGCCTCAAAGACCAATCAGTTGGTTTGTGATCAAAGCAAATGGCGAAAAGAACACACTGAATGCTAGACATGAAACACATTAAGGCTGTGCTCGAGTATGGAGCTGGGTACTTCTCACTCACTCTTGTCTAAAAAAATTGAATAAAATTGTTAGTTATTCAGAAGAATTGGATAGAAGTAATAAATATTTGTTCACATATATAATGATTTATTTATTATATTTTGCTAATTACTTATTCAGTAATTTGTGTGTGTGTGTGTGTGTGATTTAAGATTATAATGATAAGATTTTAAGGTATATGTTCAAAAAATAAAATAACAAAATATTTTTTTAAAAAAAATTGACGTGATAAAGTTTGATACATAATATTTTCAAAACTGTATTTTATCATATGAAAATATAGATACAAAATCATATGGAATTCATTAGATATGGATAACTATATATATATAAAAAAAACAATTAGTAAATATTAATTTAAATACTCCGTAATATCTAATTATAAATATATCAATTTTAAAATAAATGTAAGACCAATAAATAATAATATCTGATTATTACATTTATTTTATTACTTTTATTACTATAAAATAATACCGAGATAATTAGTAGATGTTAAAATTTTAAAATAATTAGACATATGGATACATATTATTTGATAACATCTTAGATTAAGATTGGTAAGAATTTATTTAGTATTAGGTTTTTATAATACGTTGACAATAATAACTAAAATTTGAAATTATGTTTTTTAAGCAAATATACTAAATGAAAGCGAGGTAGGAAATACAGTATTCGTTTGAAAAATGACATTAACTCCATTAGACATGAGTCTATAGTTTGAATTTCATAAAAAAAAAAAAAAATTCTCTAATTATCTTGGATGCAATTATATCATCAATAAAAGTCACACTTGATATTGATGTGCAGGCAAATTCATTGTGAACCATGGTTCACATTGTAATGTAGACTATAGATAAATGTTCATTTTTATTACACTAAATGTTCATTTTTAGTATACTGAAAATTCATTTTAGATAATATCTCCCATATACAAATAAAAGAAAATATTTAGTATATTAAAAATAAACCGAATACCAATAATGTATTTTAATTTATAAGATGGACCATGATTCATGATATATAATGATCGAGGATGTGATGTGTGATGTGTAGGCAAGACTACAAACCTGGATAATTGACCAAATTGCCCAAGAAAGGGCGCTAACGATGATGAGGAAAGGTCCCAATATGAAGTTGGGTTGAGCGTTGGTAGAGCCATTATTATCTTTGTTTTGGGATGAGAGATGGTCTGCATATTTCCAGTGAATGCTGGATTCGCCTATGCCAATATTATGGCCGTGGTAGAAGGAGAGTAACATAGCACCACCCACACATAATATGGTTCCTACCACCTTTGCTTTCCCGGCCGCAGTCCTAATCATTAACTTTTCAATCCTGCCAACCGAGAGTTTGATTGGAAGAAAAGAATTAGGAAGGTCGGGGGAAAGAATTGTAATAATTCCGTGGCAAAAAATAATGTAAGAATAAAGTATGAATTCAAATTACAGTAGAATTATTGAGATTTGAAAGAGAAAAAATGATAAAAAGATTAAAATGTCATTGTATAATAATAACAGTATTCAAGGACAAATATGTCATTTTCTTCTTCTTTTTTTTTTTTTTTTTTTTTTTTCCCTTTTCTTTGTATGGATGAATTGCAATTCATATGGGGACCCTATGAATTACAACTTATTGAATTGAGAGAATATAATTGTAAACAATGTAGTTTCTCCTTTCATGGAATTACATATTGGCATTGAATTTCAATTCATGCCAACCAAACACCCCCATTAAGAGTTTGTTCAGTGTTGGGAACAAAAATGCACTTTTCGTCTTATAGTGTAATTGTAGAATTATATTCATTCATAATTGACGTTGCAAGTTGCATCTTTTTTCTAACAGGTCGTTCTCATTTCTCGTCTTTAAGCTATAACTGACGTTGCAAATTTCGTCCCTAATGTTTTGTTAGAAAAAAAAAAAAAGACGAAATTAAAGTTGCAAGGTCATTTATAGCTCAGGGACGAGAAGTGAGCACGACCAACAAATAGTACGTGACGAATCTTACAATTACCTTATAACTTAGGGACAAAAAGTGTAATTTTTTTTTTTTTTTTTTTTTTTTTTTGTTTTTTGAAACTAAAAGTGTATTTTTTTCATAATTAATAATATAGTATACATACCCAAAAGGGACTGCCAAGAGGTAAGTGACTGCTGGGATTAAGTTGGTCAATGCACATGCAATGGTTGGTGTGGAATTCTTGAGCCCTACAAAGTATGTGATCTGGTTGAGGCTAATCCTGAATAATCCAAAAAGATCAACATAATTAATTAATATTAGTAATGATATGATAATGATTGCGCATATATGCAATTAAAGTGTACGTATTGGTAAATTACATACCCAAATATGGAACAAAGGAATATATTGAAAAGGATAGAGAGTGTCATCTGTGGCCGTATCCTCCTGTAATTATCAAAATAACACAATCATTTAATAAGCAATCCAATCATTTGCTAAAACTAACATTGACCATTTTATTTATTTTTAATGGATGATATGTCTAAAAATACGAATAAACAGTACTCTGATCTCCAAAAAATGTAATCTATATATAAAATATAAAGTATCAATCATTATCAAAACATAGTGTTCAATGACTCTGTTTGGTAACATAGTTAGTTTATCAGTCAATTTTAACTTATTTGATAGCTATTAGCTGTTTAATTTGGTTAAATAATCAATATTAGCGTTTGATTAGTTAGTTTTTTTTTAACAACTTATTGCTCCAAAATGCTAAAATTCAAAAAGCTGCTCAAACCAATTTTTTTGTTCAGCTTTTTGAAAAAGTCATTTTGTATATAATCAGCTATCAACTAACAGCTAATTTATCAAACACTTTTCTACAATCAACTAATCAAACTCACTAACCCAATCAGTTAATAACAGTTATTAGCTAATAAACATTTACCAAACACCCCCTATATAATTTTTCCTATTTTCTCCAAAATACTTCATGGCTAGCAAAGCCAGCAAGACTCATTTTCATCTTTTTCTAAATTTTTTAAAATAGTATTAAAATACTTTTAAAATGTAGTATCTTGGCACACGAAAATCACTTATATATAATATAATATAATGTATGCAATGTAAGTATGGAGCAATGTAACGGCCGGAAATCAAGCCCAAACTAAAATTAAGAATGAATTTCTTCAATTTGACGCTATAGTATATGATGCATGACAGCCAAAAAAAAATCCATTACATTAGAAGCATCATGCAAATTATGTATGTTTTTTTCTTCAATAAATAGGCACTACATATTACATTTCCTTTCATACTTTAAGGTGTTTTAATGATAGACTCAAGGTGTTTAACGTTTACAACTATATTATATATATTTTTACTCACCAAAAAAAATATTATATATATTTTTACTTGAATTATGAAGCTAAGTATTCTAGATTTTACAAAAATTATTGACCGTACGTTTCTTACTACTATATATTTCCAATACAACTAACTTAAAAGATAAGTCATGTTTATCTATAAATATACTCAAATGTGTAAAATTAAATGTGTATTTGAGATTTAATCATCAATAAAATATATATTAAAAAAAGTTAACTAGTGATTAACAAAGTAAATTCTCATACATCGCATCTTTTCCTCTATGAAAATTATACTATTACAGTATTACGAATAACTAAGCATCAATATAATATCCCTAATACAACTGATAAAGATGCCAATAAAAATTAATAAGAACCTGTAAACAAGTCACTACAAGAAAACACCGAAATACTTACGAATTTACTATAATTTAAATGTCTTTAATTAGCTTTAGTATATATGAATTTCGTTGATTTACCTACATATTAAATTTGATTTTTTTTTTCATTGTAGTAAATGATTAATATATAATTATTATCCTAGCTAATAACAAATTAAATTGCTACCCAATTTAGTTGCGAGTTTGTTTGTTGTGGTATGAAATCAGCTGTGTTGCTTTTGTCGTTTTAATTTTCTTCATGTTGACGCATGAAAAATTATTTTTCGGGAAAAGGTGACGAAAAAGGGAACAAAAATATGGAGTCGAAAGCAACGTGAAAGAGACACGCATTTGTCACATTTGTCAACGTGTAACTACACAGCATTAGAGACCGTCACTATAAAGTCAAGGCGCTGCCACGATTTGAAGCCGTTACTCGTCGTTTGCGTGCCCTTAAATACATATGTATTACGTATTTTGCGCTTAAATATATATAAAATTTTCCCGTGAGTTCTGTGAGACCATTCATAAATGCATACAAGTTACTACACAATAACACACAGACTAAATTGTGTACAATTCGCTCAGCATGAATTCACACAAGCTAACATCTGTGTATTCGTATAATAACTTTTATGCATTTTCGAAGGGTCTCACAGACTCATAAGAACAAGTGGATGTACTTAAACATTAGCCTATATATATGAGCTACGAGGAAATTAAAACTTCCAATGAATATTCGAAAGTGTGTCCTAGATAAATTCACTTCTGTGTAATATTCTGAAAACTATATATTTATGAATCGCTAATAAATCTTATTAATGTGGAGCATGGGTTTTCATCTCTATTACATTTTAATAAGCATCAGTGTTGTATATAAATAAAATAAAATAAAAATAAAAATTTAGTCCCTATATTATTATACAAAAATAATCATATATTCCAAAATGATATAATTAGAATTATATATTAGATAAAAACCTTCTAGTTATTTATGTGGTATCCCATAAAATTGATTTATTTGGTATATAATTCTAATTACATTTTTTATCTTATAATGTTGATAGTATATAATTTCTTTTTCATAACTAATAAAATTATTTTATAATGTTTCCTTTCTTATATATATTAATATTTTAACAAGTATCTCAAGTTGTAAGTTAACTTAGTATTTATGTCTGAATTTGAAATAACTTATTTATCCCACTATCATAAGTTCAATTCTTGTTAGTGACATTTTACATATTTTTTATGTTAGCATATTATTAATACATGAATTGGTAGTCGTATCATCGTCATGCTAGCTATCTAATTACATACTTAATAATTTATGTAGTTAATAATTTTACTTAATTATTTTATTTTTAATAGTGCATTGATTAAATTGAACAATTTTAAAATATATGAACTAAATTAAACATTTTACACTAATATAGAGAATTATGAAGTACTTAAACCTAAAAGAAACTATAAAATGCTAAAATACTAATTTATTTTTTATGATGGAGCTACTAATTAAAAGTATTTAGTAAGGAACATTGTTACTATATATACTCTATAAATTAAACCTTGTAAAATTTTACAATAAGATAGGTTTCCTTTGTTGTTGATATTGAGAATTGTTTATGGTATCCATTCCATTTCTATGATGTTTTTTTTCCCTTCTCGGAAATAGAAAGAACGAAGACAATATGTTCATATCAATGGATTAATGAAAAAAAGAAGTAAAAAAACATATGTGAAAAATGCATTATTATTATTATTATTATTATTATTATTATTATTATTATTATTATTATATTTATGTTGGTGTGTATTACCAAAAACGTTTGTTTAAAATGTATTAAAGAAAAAAAAAAGTGTTGCCCCAGTAAAAAAACGGAAATGAAAATGAGAGAATCACCAACAAAAAAGCATGACATATTACCACGAAACATATCAACATACAACCCTAGTTAAGCTAAGCTAAGCTAGCACGGCTCATACAGGCAGCTTCAAGGAATATATGAATCGAAAAAAAAATGAATGATCGGCCGGAAAGTACAGTGTACAGACATATTAGCGTAGCGTACCTCTCGGAGAAATATGCAATTGGAGCAATGGCAACGGAAGCGAAGAGTTGACGATAAGCGACGTGGACGAAAGGGTTCATGCCGGAATCCATGGCCAGCTTCGATATGATGTTCATCACCGCATATCCAAGTTGCACAATTATCATCATTATAAGAGCCAACAAATCTACACCCATTATATCTATATATGTATTATTTCTTGCAAATTCCTATCCTTTGCTTCTTTCTCCAATAGCTATACCTAGCTAGCAAGCTAGAGAGAAAGAAGACTAGGATGGCGAATAAAGAAGCTAGAAAGAAAGGGGAGATACTTAAATAGCTAGCTTGCTTGCTTGGAGGAATATGCATGATGAATAAGGTTGGGTTTATATAGAGCCAGCTAACATCGAGGAAAGGATGACCAATTTGGTATTGCCGCATAAATATCCCCAATTTTCATATATTAGAAAGGGCATTTTGGTCAAAACATAACAAATTAACCCATCCTCAAGGGCAGGATCACTGCTGGAAATTATAGAATTTTCGACCACCTGAAAGTGATCTTATATCAAGTCGAAAACAAAAAGTGGTCGGAAATAGCAACAAAAGTTTTTTCGGATACCAAAAGTGGTCGGAACAAGGTGAACTCGATCTTTTTCTGGTGGTAAGAAATTTTCAGGTGGTAGGAAAGTTTCGACCACACTTGATTTAAGATCATTTTCAGGTGGTAGGAAATTTCATAATAATTTTCAGCAGTGGATGAACTCAATCATGACATTCTAATACTAGAATCATGTTCCACTTACTCGGAAATACCTTTCTATATATTTATTATTTTTAAGTACTATCCTCCCATTTAGAGAGTCACAGTTATACCGTTTAACCACAAGGTTTTTAGCACATATTTATTATTTATATATACTATACTTAACAAATGTGACATTTCCCTGAAAATATGTACGCGTAAGATCAAATCGGTGAGGTAGTCTACACATTATGTGATGAAGAATAATTTTAAATAACAGCTGATAATTAATAGTTTGGTAGTAGTTGATCAAAATATTGATTTCAAATATTAATTTAATTTATTGTCACTTTCTTTGTTAGATTAATTAGCTATTTATGATATAATTTGCTTTTACTGTTAGTTTCATCCCAACACATGATACATTTATATATCGACTGCTCTAGAGTTATTAGTTTATTCATAATAATCAAGAGCTGATCGAGATAATTGGAATAATTGAAAATTTTTGCAATAAAATATATATTATAATTTATAAATGAACTATTCTTAGCAAATGTGTATACAACACTTTACAAATGTGAGATTAATCTTTCCCTTAAATGTGTATATTTTCACCTATATATCCTCTAAAATTATGGCATTTTAATCACAATTTGATTATTAGAGTTAAAATCGGCTACACAGTAACATATATATAGGGTCTCGTTCAGGTGAGAATATGCGGACTTTTTCAGTAATGTACAGTAAGTTATTCATGAATGGACAACAACTACTCCAGTTCCGTGACTACTACATGAATGCACCAAAATCGTTACATGAATTTACAGAAATTACTACACGAATGCACGGTGTATTCATGTAGTAGCCACAGAACTGAAGTAGTTATTGTGCATTCATATAGAATTTACCGTGCAGTCTGCATGTTCTCACGTTAAGAGTTGTTTTCACCTTTATATATATATATATATATATATATATATATATATATATATATATATATATATATATAAAACAAAAATGTAAATGATTAATTATTGAAAAACGTAAAGGGATTTGTTGTGGAAAAGGGTGCGTTGATGCATGCATGGTGGCACAAAATTGTTGAAGGACAGCAGTTTCAGTTTATAATGGTGATTGCCAGCTTTTTAGCTTTTCCCCTGTTTTGATAAAAACTTGCGGCACCCAAATTCCATTTCTTGATGGATCTCTTTGATGAGCATTGCATGGACTGTGGGGCCCATGCAATTCTTGTGACTTTGAAACTTCTATATATGGTAAGGAAAACACCATAGGCAATAGTACTCTTACGTCTACATACGTTCTCGATACCATCACACGTTACCCTTACACGGTGTTTTGTTGTTTTTTGGCATAATAAACGGGAAATGAAATAGCATTACATGGAATATGAGTTTTGTTTTGTTTTAAAAATTACGAAATTACCTTTCAAAAAAAAGTTTACGAAATTAAATTCTATGGAATTGAATATTCAATTTGCAATAAGAATGGTCATTCTCAATGCTCCCATGTTCCTATTACATCAAGAATAGGGACATGATGAAATGAGAATTACTATTACTTTCATGCGAACGTCTGACCTGCACAATCATAAAATTACAAGTTGTACAATCAGACATTACAAGTTGCACATCAGACATTACAAGTTGAATAACATAAAATATGAAAATAGTTACAGATCAAAATGTGGATTTGTAGGCTGCACGTACAATCACTTATGCGCGAATGCACAATCAAACATTATAAGTTGCACAAAAGCTAGCTCACACGTTCCCATGAGAAGAGTAGTTCTCGTTCGATCCAAATTATATATATATATATATATATATATATATATATATATATATATATATATATATATATATACACACTAGTCTTTTTTATGCGCGATGCGCAAAAACATATGCCCAATATTTATATTTTTTGAAATAACTAACAAATCCATACTAATTAAAATTATATGAAATCAAATTTATTTATTATAATAATTCAATATATAATATTTACAAATATTATTATCATAAAGAATATAAGAAAATATATAGTGGATACATGTGCATGATAACAATAATGGAAAAGATAACGGAAGTTATAACAGTAGGGGTATTTTTGTCCAAAGAATTATATAGTACAACTCTAAAAGCACAATGTACAAAATGATTAGCATTAAAAACATGAACATAAATGAGGGACATAACTTTGATTGAGATTTATTATATAATAGCATCTTTGATCCTTGAGTTATACCCAAGTTCTGACTCAGTCCCTCAGTTATGATTGTATTAATTTTTAACCCTCAATTTTGAGCGAAACGGTGAGTTTGGTCCCCGACGTTAGGTATCCGTCTCAACTTGACGTAGTGCTCCCTTATTTGTACTGAGTCTCAAGTTTCTTAAATGAGACCCAGCTTCTAACAAGCCATACGAGGGTTATTGAAATGCTTTTGGAGTTGAAGAATCTTGAAATGTGAGGCAAGAAAGTGAAAAATAATGTTGTGAAATTGGTTTCAATATAAAAAGGAGAATAACCTGTGAAATTCCAACTTTACCCCTCTAATAATAGAGGGTTTTTTGAGTTTTTCGTTAGATTGAGACAGATACCTAACGTCAGAGACCAAACTTGCCATTTCGCTAAAAAAATGAGGGGTTAAAATCAATACAGTCATAACTAAGAAGCTGAGTTAGAACTTCGGTCTAACTCAAGGACTAAATATGTCATTTTCTCCATTATAATAGCTTTCTTCAAGAAGTGGAGTTTGAGTTGGATAAGAACTGGGAGGTGAGATGCTACCACGACACCACGTGTTGCGGGAGCAGAACTAGGCTGACGATTGGCTTGCGAAGAATCAGAGAAAGGAAGCTGATTTAGTGCTATTGTCGTCTTGTTCTCATAAATACCGGGATTTCTTATCCATAAAGATGTTGTAGGAGTGCCTTGTGTTCGTGGGGACTTTTGTTAGTTGTTTTTTTCCTCCCGGGGCTCTGCCCTTCCTTTTGTACCAAAATAATAATAATAATAATAATAATAATAATAATAATAAATAAATAAATAAGTAAAAGGAAAGATTAATTTAGAGAGTAAAATTAAAATTTTTTTCCCCTAAAAATGAATAGATAGAGTTTCAAAAGATATAGAATGTCAAAGTTTTTTTTTATTTATTTTTATTTTTTTTATTACTACTAACTCTATGACAACGTGGATAAGAACTGGGAGGTGAGATGCTACAACGTTTGCGGGAGCAGAACTAGGATGACGATTGGCTTGCGAAGAATCAGAGAATGGAACATGCTTTAGTGCTATTGCCGTTTTCTCCTCATAAAGACCAGGATTTCTTACCATAAAGATGTTGTAGGAGTACCTTGCGTTCGTGGGGACTTTTGTTAATTATTTTTTTCTTCCCGGGGCTCCGCCCTTCCTTTTGTACCAAAATAATAATAATAAAAAAAAAGTAAAATGAAATATTAATTAAGAGAGGAAAATTTATTTATTTTTATTCCTTAAAATTGAATAGATAGAGTTTTCAATGTTATAAAATGTCAAAAGTTTTTTTTTTTTTTTTTTTTTTTTTTTTTTTTTTTTTTTTTTTTTTACTATTAACTCTATGACAATGTGGATAAGAACTAGGAGGTGAATGCTACCACGACACCACGTGTTGCGGGAGCAGAACTAGGCTGACGATTGGCTTGCGAAGAATCAGAGAAAGGAACCTGGTTTAATGTTATTGCCGTCTTCTCCTCATAAAGACCTGGATTTCTTATCCATAAAGATGTTGTAGGAGTGCCTTGTGTTCGTGGAGACTTTTGTTAGTTGTTTTTTTTTTTCCCGGGGATCCCCCTTCCTTTTGTACAAATAATAATAATAATAATAAAATAATAAAAAAAAAAAATAAATAAATAAATAAGTAAACGGAAGGATTAATTTAGAGAGAAATTAATTTTTTTCCTTAAAAATGAATAGATTGAGTTTTCAAAGATATAGAATGTCAAAAGTTTTTTATTTTATTTTATTTTTATTACTACTAACTCTATGACAATGTGGATAAGAACTGGGAGGTGAGATGCTACCACGACACCACGTGTTGCGGGAGCAGAACTAGGCTGACGATTGGCTTGCAAAGAATCAGAGAAAGGAACCTGGATAAGTGCTATTGTCGTCTTGTTCTCATAAACACCTGGATTTCTTATCCATAAAGATGTTGTAGGAGTGCCTTGTGTTCGTGGGGACTTTTGTTAGTTGTTTTTTTCTTCCCGGGACTCCGCCCTTCCTTTTGTATAAAAAAAAAGGAAATAATAATAATAATAAATAAGTAAAAGGAAAGATTAATTTAGAGAGTAATATTAAATTTTTTCCCCTAAAAATAAATAGAAGAGTTTTCAAAGATATACAATGTCAAAGTTTTTTTTTTTTTTTTTTTTTTTTTTTTTTTTTTTTTTTTTTTTTACTAACTCTATGACAATGTGGATAAGAACTAGGAGGTGAGATGCTACCACGTGTTGCGGGAGCAGAACTAGGATGACGATTGGCTTGCGAAGAATCAGAGAATGAAACCTGGTTTAGTGCTATTGCCA